ATGGATATATGGCATTGCCTGCAGGGGCGTTTTTTTTTTTTTCCTGGCACACAAAATGTTTAAAATTCATAACTTCGAAAGCAAAGGCAGCTGCACAGCTGGTGAGCTGGCTTCGGTGGCTGAGTGGCGCACGGGCTGGCTGTCTTCTGTCTGCTGTCTGCTGGCTGCTGTTTTGAATGCCGCTAACAGCGGGCGGCCAATGCAGTTGCATATAAAAGACAGAAACGGAAGCGAAACGCTGGATACCTCAGCAGCAGCAGCAGCAGCAGAAGTAGCAGCAGTAGCAACTTCCATTGTCGCCAAAAAAGGAATCTACTTGCAATGTGCTTAAAGCCAGTTAGCCCTGCGTCTACGTCTCCTACACAGCATCTCCTCGCAGTCTCACTCCTTCGCTTAGCTTTGGCAGAGACATGTGCGTGGATAATTAGAACTGCGCCACAGTTGGCTGCACACGCTTACTTATTCCGGGCCTGGCCAGGAGTTTAGATACATACACCCACCCACACTCACACGCGCACACACACACACACACACACAATATATTTTCAATTTACTTGGTGGCATGCCAAGGATTTATCAACAGATGAAGGCAATTGTGTTACGCGACGGCCTAATAAATTGCCAGCCAGAGCTAAAAATGCTTTGCTCGCTTTTAAATTTTATGGCGCGTAAGAAGGGCATACACTAATGCGACCGAAAGCAACCCCCACATGTCCCCACATCCCCAAAAAGTTACTGTTGAGTCCTGTAGACCATTTTGGGCTAAGCTGGCTATTCATTGCCGGGGATCATCTAAAACATGCAACAAGACAGTGGAGCGGGAAGGGAGACAGACCCATTGCGAGAATTGCGTAGAGGCCAGGATTTTCCGCACTCTTGTGGCTTAACCTGACAATTAGAATCAGGTTCAGGTTCAGTTACTCTAAAATCACATCAGCAACTATAGATGCAATCACTTTTCTTCAACTATATTCCAAATTACATTAGCTTAAAATAAAGAAGCTTCCACTTTAGAGTGCTCAACTAGAATGTAACCCGTAAACCGTGCCGAGTGGCTATTTCTAGTAACAAAATACCTATATGAGATAAGATAGAACCTCTTGAAATATTCATTTGATTCTTCTTCTCTCTCCTCATTACACAGTAGCAGTTGTATATATGTATGTATACATATAGTATATGTATCACAGGCCTACCCATTCAAAGCACCATTAATTACATCAATTTCATTAACATATGTTTTACATATTTGGTATGAATCATCTACAATTTGTATTATTAATATACTACAAATATTTGTGAGATATTTATTATAGTTTGTTCGTTCTTCTTCATTAGTAAGCAAAGCAAAAACACAATTTGCTCGGCAAGGACTCAGCAAGGACTGGCACGTCAGCGACGTGGAGCAACAGTTACACTGCAAATCCTTCGACAGTGTCTGCCAATTTGTTAGCTTGTGAATGCACTTATTACAGCAGCCAGGCGAGGCGGCAGACGACACACAACACAAACAATATACAGTAGTACAATGCATAACCAGCGAATTAAAGGGGAAGCCACGAACCGAAAGCATAACTAATCCGCATCTTTAGAGCCACAACGCACACAGTGGGGCAAAAGCTGGCGCGGAGTTGGGGCGACGTGATGGCTGGGCAAGGTTAGTGGGTGTGGCGCTTTTCTATTACGACAAGTACGTACGTAGGGCAAAGGATATGAGTGGTAAATGTTTAAGCGAAGTGTTTTTAGGTTCAGCACTTATGACATTACATTTTATGTGTGTGAGTGTATGTGTGTGTGTGTGAGTGTGCGTGTGTGTGTGTGCTCTCTCACTCTCTCTATTAATTTGCAATGGCTGTATGCCAAAGACTCTGCGCCCCCTTCTCCGTCCCCGTCCCCAGCCTAGCATCAAAATGCCTACGCACACGATTGTTGTGGCAAAGATTTGTGAAAGCGCCACGTAATTGACTTTGCTGCTGATGGTTGCTTGTCCTTGTTGCCGTTGTAGTTGTTGTCCTCGTTGTCGTTGTTATCCTTGTTGCTGCCGCTGCTGCTGCTGTTGTTGCTCCCTCCACAGGCAACTGCTGTTGATTGTGTTGCTGTAAAATTATCATAGTTGGGGCCCTGGTATATGTATCGCATTATGTACACATATACTTATGCCGATTTACGCATAAAACTTTGGATTCCGACTCGGACTCGGGGCGCAAAAGGACGAAAGGACGCAGGTCCAAGCCGAAGGCAAAGAAGAAAAGAAATATATTTATAAATAAAAATAAAAAGGATGGCGCCTTCCGAAGTAAACATTTTCATTCTTTGCGATTTTTTTTTGTTTTTTGTTGAATACTCTATAGCTATTACAATTGGCTTCGAGGGTAGTTTGAATACGAGGGGGAAATACAAGGCAAAATATATTTATTTTTCGGATGTTCTAGCTTTAAAAACCAAAGTAAGAAATAACTATGTATTATAGAATACAAAAATTAATTTTGTTTTGATAGTCATAGAAATAGGAAACTAGATACTTCTAAAATACTAAAAACTCTAGACTTTAAATTTGACAATTTTTCATATAGGATATGCTTTAGTCGCGCCCTCTCGCCCCAAGTACTTTAACTTGTTTTGTTATGTTTTGTTTTTATTGCTGCCAGCAGCATTGACTAGAACAACAACAGCAACTGGCAAATGTCCCACTTGTTACAAGACCCAGCTCCACTCTCTATGAGAAGGATTGGGTGGCTGGATGGGTGATTGGGTGGTTGATGGGTCTACAAAATTGGGCCATAACTTTTGTTTTGCTACGTAAAATGGCGCCAAGCAACCTATATAGGCCAGACAGCATAGCACAGCAGAGCAAAGCAGAGTAAAGCAGAGCATAGCAGAGCAGAGCAGAGCTGAGCTGAGCTGAGCACATAAAGACGATTCTTAACTCTCGAACTAGCAACGCAACAGCAATTCAAATCAAAAACGTGCCATCAATTGGACAGCCCCCAACTACAGGTTTGAAGCGCATATTGCGTATACGCCACATACACACATATATATATTCGACTGGGTGACAGGGCGGGGTCGGACGGGGCATCATTAGCGCCCTGGACCGCAGCTCCATTAAGACGCGCCGCATGCCAACTGGTCCAAGTCTCAGGCACAGCTCGTATATGAACTAAAGTGATTTTCAAATAATTGTCCAGCTGTCTGTGTGCCAGAGTTGACGGAATAAGTTCAATTGAACCAGTCATTTAAAATTAGCCAATGAACTTGATACCTTAAACTACATAAACTCCTTGGTAGGTCAAGTCGCTCATGAACTATACGTTCTACTGAATTATTTATTAGCTCAAGGACGATATGTTGTAATGAACTATTGAACATTAACATTAATTGAACATTATAATTAATTTATTGATTATTTAAATTTTAGCTTTCTAGCTAAACTAGCTTGATTGGAAACGAATTAATATTCAAATAGAAATCAATTTATTTTATTAATGGGACTTTAAATTGAACTGGAACTGCAATAAGAACTTAATCAAATAATATTGTTCATTGCTCGGAAATCATTGAACTGATTTATCAGAACTGAACTAGTATATTACAACTTGTATAATATAACTTTATATTGAATTATAACTCTTATGTGCATCAATCGAAATCGAACTCAATTAGTGCCTAACTACTTACAAACTGAACCATTGAACTTGTTCATTGGAACTCATATGCATGCCAACTGCTAACTCCAAAGCAAATCATTCAAGTTGAACTATTGAGTCGAATATATGCCACAGATTATGACTTGCAAAATGAATCATTGAACTGATTCATTGAAATGGAACTAGTTTCTGTCAGCTCAATGGTCCAACTGTTTGTCTGTCTCTCCATCTGTCTGTCTGTCTGTCTGGCACTTTAGTTGCTTTTGTTGTTGTCGCTGCTGTTGCTGTTGCTGTTGCCTCGTGCTTGGCTAGATTAAAAGCTGTCACAGGCCAAACAAAAGGCAACCGCAGCGCCAACAATTCACAAAGGATAAGCAACAGCAACAACAACAACAACAAAAACATTTTGTTATTGTGCACGCTTTAGATTTGCAATGTATGCCGATTTATAATCAATCAATGTCAGCGCAAAATTCGAAGCGGGTGGCCCAAAGTGGGCCGGGTGGACGATTGGGCGATGGGGCGGGGCTGCAGGGCAGCATATGCTAGCACAAAAAAACAGGCGTTCATTAGGCTACAAAAGTCTGCACGTTCCGCCTTCTACTTCTCCTTCTACTCCTCCACTCCTGCTACTCCTTCAAGCAAAGCTCTGGCGCATTATAAATAGTGCGTGCATAATCGCCCTCAATCTAGGCATATTAAAAGCTCAACATAAACCCAACCACCTTCTTTATAGATCATTTTTAAAACCAAAATCAAAGCCAGAGTGAAAGCCAGCTATAAGCCCTAAGCATTCCAAGTCGTTTAACGCATTAAACGGGCAAGTTAATGAGCGAAATTATATATAAGTTAAAAATATTTTACACTAGTTATTCATTCTATTTATTTATATTTTAGTATTCAAATTTTTCATTTGTATCTTAAAAATGGAATTAAATATATTTATTAATAATTAAATTTTATACATTTCAATTGTGTTCACACACTTTCCCCCTCAAGAAATACTCTCTATATGTTCTCGGTCGTCTACAATGGGGAAGGAGATGCTGCAGCCCTGAGCGATAGGCCTCAGTTAATTGTTGAAGTTGTTAAGAGCAGCTTTAAAGCAGCATAAACTGCTGCTATTTGTTTTTTATTTAATGAAGTAAAGATGTTTAATGACCTGACCTAAGGCTTTGACAGCGTTGACAACTTGGCATTAAAAACCCGAAATTGTAATTTGAGTAATTAAAATTTTGATGCGATAATCGAATGGAATGGTACAGGTAACGGAACTTTCTATATATAGGTATATATATTGTATTTATATACATACATATATAGAGATTCCGTTTGTATGTGTGGCGGCATAACCAGGCAGTCAATGTCAAGCCACAGAGACTATTAAATACACACGCAGGCACGCAAAAGTGCTGAGAAACAAAGCCAAGTCTAAGAGAAAAGGCTAAGGCAAAAGCTGATGCTGTTGGCAGGAGCAAAGAACAGGAGCAAAAAGGAGCAAAGGCAGCTTCCATAATTCGCTTGACGACTCTGAAATCGTGGGGAGTAAAAGCCATTAAAGTAACAACCAGGCACAGCACGTTTTTACGGCTCTCTGTGCGTGTGTGTGTAGGTGTGGATGGGGTGAGCTGGTCTGTAAAGGAGAAGCTGTTGCTATTGTTGTTGTTGCTGTTGTTGTTGGTGGTGAAACTCAATCGTAAGCGCAGCAGCAGCATCATAAACGACGGCGTCGGCATTTAGAAAGCGCAGATATTCCTGTCAAAACGATAAGCGCGCCTTAACAGTAGCAGGAGTAGGAACAGTAGCAGCAGCAGCAGCAGCAGCAGCAGGAGCTGACACTGGAACTGGAGCAGCAGCAGCAGCAGCAACAGACAAGCTAAAGATGCACTACAAGAAATTGTGAAATGCTTTTAAAACCAATTTAAGAATATTTAAATAAAATATATATTTGAATTTTATATTGAAAATTTTGTTAAAATAGAAGTAGATATATCAAAAGAGATCACTTAATTTATGTTATATGAAATATTGAATAAATATTTTATTTTGTTGATTTTGTCCTTATAAGTTATTGGTATATAATGATGCAACTTCAGAGAGAAGTTTAAAGAGGCCAAGCTGAATTCTTATTTCCTTTAATCTTTTTTAATAAGATTAAGAAATTAACTAAAAATTATAGAATAATTTGTTAAGTATAGAATCTAAATTTTCGTATACCAACTTTTCCTTTGCTAAAAACAAAAGTCAATCATAATTTTATTCCAAATTGTTGCCTCCCCTTTGTCTATATGTACTTTTCACTCAAGGTTTTCTCTCAGTGCAAGCTGACAGGATTTTTATGCCAAGTGCTGAGCAGCGTCTTTAAACGTTTTGTGGCTAAAATTGCCGCTGGAAGAAGGGCTATGGCAATYGCCCACCCGCCACGCCACGCCACGGCACACCAGGCCACACGAAGCCACATCGCACCACGGCTGTCTCTGCCGCTGCCCCGCCGCTGCCCCGCTGCCCCGCTGCTGTCCTGCTGCTGGTGATGTCGCCTGTCTGGCATTGTCATTTATGTATCTATTCGAAGCGGCTTTCTTGCATTGCTTAAATGCCTTACGGTAATTTCATTCACTTACGTTCACATAACTTGCAGAACTCACGTATTCGCATTCGCAATCGCATTCGCACATTTTGAAAAAGGGCGGCATGGTGGATGGGGGCGTGTTGGAGACTCGCTCAAAGTTATGGGCGCGGCGTAAGGTGCGTAATGACATTCGTGTGATAAGCCACACGCACGCGCCTCCAGGACATTTACTGAGACAGCAACAGCAGCAGCAGCAGGAGCAGCAGGAGCAGCAGGAGCAGCAACAGCGACTTTCAAATGCAGCTAATGAGGCAACGGCTGCGGCATTAACAACAAACAAATATGTACATAAATCTTTAGAGTTGGCTATTATTGTTGTTGCCATAGCCATGGCCAAGACAATCTGGATGGCCGACCGAAAAAAAAAAATATGGATTGCTGCCTAATCACCTACAGAGCTGGGCTATTGGTATAGCGCGCAGTAGTTGGGGGTCCACATTCACCTAAGCCGCACAAATCCCCAAAAATATTTCACAAGTTTATCCCCTTAGGTGGCATTTCGAAAAGTACAGCAAAAAAAAGAAAAACAACGGAACGTGTTGCAGTTAGCAATGATAGACTAGATGATACCCTTAATGCCAAGTCAAGATGCAACAAGGGAGAAATATTCCTAATTTATGTTTGATAAATGTCAAATGTTGATGGGGTGGAGTAATGCAGAGAAATATGATGTTGATGAGAAAGCTGATAGTGGTGAGTGGGATGAGAGAGGAGCATAAGAATGATAATGGGGACGGCAATAGGAAAATTGATGAACTCATCCTGAGGAATATGACAATGATGATAATAATGACAATGATGAAGTTGATGATGTTGCGGGTAATGATTAATATGACTATAATGATGATGATGGCAATGATAGTTATACATAAAAAGTATACAAGTCTTTTTCTGACTGCCATATTAGACAAACAACGGGACTGACAAACATACTATATCATTCCTCATCAGCTCACATTGATCAAGCTTTCATATAGTCTGGATGCTGCCACGCTCCATGCTTTCCAACAACGGACAGACAAACAGATGCCATTAACTCATTTCTAATCAAATTTATGCCATATGGTCTCGGCCACGCCCCTGCCTACCTTCTGTAACATGCACTTGAACACAATCAGCATACTCAGTGGAGACGATTGGTCTGAATTAAGGGTATCTGCCAAAAAAAAAAAAAAAGAAGAAAAGAATAAATAATAGAAGCAAGAGACCAGCTCCATCGGCATCAGCACGTTAATCAAAATGTAAGGACACCCAGCCCCCCGCCAGCTCTGATCGCAATGGCAGCTCTCGGCTTCCAGCTTCCAGCTTCTGGATAACCGCATCCGTATCGCCTTCTGCAGACACTTGAGTCGAGGCCGAAAAATTTTAATGGCTCAATAAAAATGCCATTTGCGCTGGCAGGCGAAGGCCCAAACGCAAAAGAAAAACTTTGGCTTTAAAAGGTAAAAAAAAAATATCGAGAGAGTGAGAGAGAGAGAGAGAGAGAGAGAGAGTGAGAGAGAGAGGAAAGCGAAAACAAAGCTTAACACATTTCGCAGCCAAATGCTTATCTAATCAGCGTTAAGTAATCCTTGACACCTGAGATGCCCGCAGCCAGGTAGCCCAGATGTGCCCACATAGCCAGCCAGCCAGAGAGTCACCCAGAGAGTCAGCCAGAGAGTCAGCCACCCACAGTCAACTTCCGCAAACGGCTTTCAGCTGTCAGAGCAGATTAATCTGCAATTGCCAAAGATTTCCGCTTGAAATCGAATCAAATGTAAATCAGCTGCAGCAGTTGCTACCCCAGTGGGGCTGGGAGCTGAAGCGTGCGGCGTGTGGGGCGGGTGGGGCGTGAGGCGTGTTGCGGCGGTTGAGTTGGGGTCTCAGTTGCCCAGAACTAGTTGCACATCGTTTATTGGGCATTTATTTTTGCCACCCATTTTGTTTGTGGCGCGCGCTTTATCAAACAGAAAATTTAAAAAACAAATAACAACAGCAACACACCAGCAGCCACAACTACAACAGCAGCAACAACAACAGCAACAATAAGAACAACAACAACTGCAGCCATTAATTTTTTATTGTTTCTTCGAAAAGCGATTTCATGCCTTTACACAGATTTTCCCAAACATTTAAAAGTGCGAAAAGATCAAAGCGAATTCCAATTCCAACTTATTGTCCCTGGCCATGCGCACCACCACCCTGCCCCCCTCGCTCTTTAGGTGCGGGCGGGGCTGCCCCTAATCCCAATCCAACTTAACCCCCTTAGCTTTGCTTAACAAGCTGCGTCACCATTGCAATCGGCTGTTCCTGACTGCAGCATGCGGGCTCATAGCTCAATGAAGTGCAGCTGAGATTTGAATTTGATGTTTGGTGGGGCTCACAAATCTTAGAGATATGTAGCCACGCCCCAAAGACTGTATAAGTATGTATACGTTTTATTTCATTAAAACAAATCTGTAAATTATATAAATAGCAGTTTGAGGAGATGAATTATCTACCTATTTATCATCAATATCCTCTATCATACACTTATGTATCTACATATGTCTAAATCTACCACCCATAATCTATCTATCTATCTATCTTTCCATCTATCTGTCAATCTATCTATCTATCTATTTATGTATCTATCATCTATTTATTTATGTATCTATCTATCTTTCTATCGATCTATCTATCAGCTATCTATCTATTTATCTATCGATCTATCTATCTATCTAGCTATTTATGTATGTATCTATCTTTCTATCGATCTATT